AACTAAATCCTCACTCACCCTAGGCCCAGGTGAGCCTCCCCTGGGGCCCAAAGGGGGCCCAGCAGGGAGGTGGCAGTTCTGGTCAGTGAGTCAGTGTAGTTCACCATGAAGAGTAGGATATTTTATTCTACACAAATGGGATTCTGAAGATCCAAAAATATATAGCAAGTGAAGATACGAGGGCTGCTGAAACTTAATACTGCTATTATTATTTGTATTATTATTATACCTTGTTTTCAATTGTTTATAAAATGTCAACTATTTAGGCTCAATTCTCCTTGCTAGGTATCTACCTGCAGTTGCATTCTTTGGGGGAAAGCTTGACAAAAAAATAGTTCTTACTGGTTCCAAAAATCAAATCAGGAGAAAACGTATTGTTTTCCATGGGCTAAAAAATTCTTGCAAATTGTATCATTGATAAGGTCTTGGGCTTCCATGTTTTGGCTTGAAGAACTGTAAAACCATCCTGGTGTCAGGAATGTGTAAGTTTAAGATTCCCAGGAGATTTGGCTAACTACTTTTCAGAGACTGTGTAGATTCAGTACAGACTTGTTACAGGTTGGCAACATCCTCTGAAGATTCTGTCTGTATCGAGTGTATTTTATCCTAGGGCTTCAAGGACTGAGCAGGACATTCCCTGTAATTAAGCGTGTAATCAAGTATAAGATTACATGTATACATATATGTATAAGGAGTAAGATACAGTCTTGACATGATCTCATACTATTTTTTTTCATTTACCGTATCCTTGGGAAATGTTAGTTCAGCATTTCATAGAATCATAGAAAATTAGGGTTGGAAGGGACTTCAGGAGATAATCTAATCCAACCCCCTGCTCAAAGCTGGACCATCCCTAACTATATCATCCTAGATAAGGCTTTGTATTAGCTGGGTCTGAAAAACCTCCAAGGATGGAGATTCCTTGGACAACCTCTCTGGGTAACCTGTTCCAGAGCTTTACTACCCTCCTAGTGAGAAAGTTTTTCCTAACATCTAATCTAAACATCCCTTGCTGAAATTTGAGACCATTGTTCCTTGTTCTGTCATCTACCACAACTCAGAAAAGTCTAGCTTCATCCACTTTGGAACCCCACTTCAGGTAGTTGAAAGTTGCTATTAAATCCCCTCTCAGTATTTTCTTTTTCAGACTAAATAAGCTCAGTCCCCTCAGCTTCTACTAAGAAGTCATGTGCCCCAGCCTCATCACCATTTCCATTGTCCTCCACTGGACTCTCTCCAATTTATTTGAATCCTTTCTGTATTGAGGGGCCCAAAACTGGACACAGTATTCCAGATGTGGCTTCACTAATGACAAATAGATCACTTTCCTCAATCTGCTGGCAACACTCCTACTAATCCAGCCCTGTATGCCATTAGCCTTCTTCACAACAAGGGCACACTGTTGGTTCACATTTAGCTTATTTTCTGCTGTAATTCCCAGGTCCTTTTCTGTGAAGCTGCTGCTTTGCTAGTCGGTCTCCAGCCTGTACTGGTGGATGGGATTGTTCCACTCTAAGGGAAGGACTTCCCACTTCTCCTTACTGAACCTCATGAGATTTATTTTGGTCCAATACTCTAATTTGTCTAGGTCTCTCAGAATCCTCTTCCTACCCTCCAGCATATCTGCTACTCCCCCCAGCTCGGTGTCATCTGCAAAGCTGCTGAGGATGTAGATCACTGATGAATATATTGAACAAAACTGGCCCCAACACTGACCCCTGGGGCACTCTACTTGATACCTGCTGCCAACTAGACACTAAGACATTGATTACTATGCTTTGAGCCTTTTCTATCCACCTTACAGTCCACTCATCCAACCCAGACTTCCTCAGCTTGCTTGCAAAAATGTTGAGGGAGACCATAACAAAAGCCTCTCTAAAGCCAAGGTATATCACATCCACTGCCCTCCCTGCATCTGCAGAGCCAGTCATCTCATCATAGAAGGTAACCAAGCTGGTCAAGCATGACTTGCCCTTTGTGAATCTTGTTCCTAATCACCTGCTTCTTCTCCAAGTGCTTAGAAATGGATTCCTTGGGGCCCTGATCCATTATTGTTCCAGGGACTGAGGTGAGGCTGACCAATCTCTAGTTCTCTGGACACTAGATTTGCCCTTTTCCAATCATTTGGGACCTCTCTCAATCACAACCAGTTCTTCCCTGTTTGTGAGCAGCAGACCAAGAAGAGTACAGCTGCTAGTTGGCCTCTCCAACACTTGCACCAGCAATCTGTCCCCAACACCCTCCAAAAACTTCCTGGATTGCCTGCTCCGTGCTGTACTGCCCTTGCAGTAGATGTCAAGGTGACTGAAGTCCCCCATGAGAACCAAGTCCTGTGACTGAGAAACTTCCATTAGCTGTTTGAAGAAAGCCTCATCCGTCTCATCCTCTTGGTCATGACAATTGTGGCGTCATGGTGGTCTATAGCAGACACCACCATGATGCCACCCTTGTTACTCTCCTCTCTGACCCTAGCCCAGAGACTTTAAACAGGCCTATCTCTAGGTGCATATTGGAGCTCTGTGTTTCATAAAAGACTGAATTTCTGTAGCACATTTGTGCCTATTTATTTCCCAGGTGTAACTTTATTACAATAGCTTGACTCAGACTGATACAGCAGTCCTTCCTTATTCAGAAAAACACCTAAGCACTTGCCAGCAGTTAAACACATACTAAATGTTTTACTGAAATATGTCAGAAAGAAATCTGCTTTTTCCTAAACAGACATTGGATTGTACATGTGCTTAAAATGAAGTATGTGCCAATATTATTTTCTATATCAAAACCATTTTCTATAATAATCAATTATGATTGTGGTCTTCTTATTTTAGATGGGGAATAAAAACCACAAGCAAATAAATACTACAAATACTATTTTTCTTCTCAAAGAAAATTAGTTGAAAGAAAATAGGATGAAAGATGTAATACACAATTTGGTCTATTAAATAGCTTATTTAAAATTTCTATTACATAGCCTATTTCTAGGCTTGCCTTTGACGCTTCAACAAGTCATCATAAGAAGATAAACTGTGAAGTCAAGGAGGAGGTTTTGCTGTCAAGCTTACAAACAAACTTTGTTCAGAAAAATCCCACCCTGCTCCCCAAAAAAGTAAAAAAAATCCATCAGCAAAAAACCCAGAAACTGCATTTTTACACAGCAGATTGAAACTGGGTTTCAAAGAAAAAAATTCATTGTGGTTTGAAATGTAAAATTTCCATTCTGCGGGAACATTCTGATATTTCTTAAAATGTTTTGTTCCAAATCTGAATGACAATTATAACTTTTGAATCTTGAATATTTTTCATTTAGGGAAAAATATTTTAGTTCAATTTTTCTAAAATAAAACACAGCAGACAGCTGCCCTATCTTCTAGAAGCAATTTGTGCCTCTCTGAGGGTAACCCAAGGAACCCCTATTCTGGAATAGAGAACCCAGAAACCCTATGAATCTTAACTTGAGCAAAACTATGAACTCCAGAGGCAATGAGCTACAGATCTTGGAAGACAGATTGCTCATGAGCATCTCAGGTAGGGCAAGAAGAAACCAGGCAATGGAATCCACACTATATTTTGGAAGTTTACTAATACTGGCACATTTTGTTGAAGGATTTTTATTGTCAATGGATTTTGTTAGGAATTTTCCAACCAGCACTTAGCATATCAGATTTTTCTTAATGTACACTTGACTTCAAATATGGAATATTCTTAACACTTCTTCATACTAAATTAGTTGTGAACAGTTTCATATTCATAATCTTAAATTTTCATTCAAACTCTTGGGGATCAGTCCTCATCCCTTTTGAAAAAAAAGAGAAAACTGTAAAACAATAATTTTATTTAAATGTTCAAAACAACTTCCTGGTTTGTTTGTACAAAACTGGAAAACAAGTAAGAGTTAAAGAAAATATTCTGCTCTGATAAAACTACTGCATTTATTCGATTCTAAGAGGGTTTTGTTCCCCATTTAGAATGGGGGGGAAAGCCACTAGTCTTACAATCAACTATGAGGATGGTGGTGGGGCAAGTAGCTACCATGGCTCAGGTTCTAGCCATGACCTAGGGTCAGGGCTGTAGCTACAGCTGCGACTTGTCCCCCAACAACACCTCTGCACCCCACCATCTCTCCCCCGCAGCCTCTGCTCCCCAACTTGCCATTCTCCCTTCCTGCTTACTTTTGCTCCGTCCAGGCAGGCTCCATGTGTGCTGCAACCTGGGTCTCTGAGCATAGTCCCAGGCTGGTTCATGGCAGCGGTGCAGCCGGAATAGCTGCTACAGGGGCTGAGCTGCAGCCATGCCCAGTACTCCAGGCTGAATGAGGACAGAGCCTGGCAGCGCAGAGCAAAGGTCAGGGGGCAAGCAGAGGCTGGAGGGATGAGGAAGGGGAGGCCCGAGGCTGTGTGGGCACAGGTAGGGGGGGGCAGGCACAAGCAGGGAACAAGCTGCTTGACCTCCCTACACCACATGCCCCCACTGCCTACCCCCTTGCAGCAGTTGGGGGGATGAATTTAAGACAAGCCCCCAGTAATCAGATCGTCTATGTGGAAATATTACACATTTATAAAGTTTCCATGTATAGAATCTAATTATTGGGGGGACATCTTAAATGCAAGTAAATCCAGTATTTACAGTTAACACTACAATCTATCTTGTCTAGAGAAAGTCGCCTTTATAGTAATATTTATCTGATAACAGAAACGTGTTATTTTAAAATAATGAAAATTTTTTTTGAAAGTTGTAATGTTTGAAGAGTAAAAGGAAATTATTTAACGAAGCTGCATGAAACATTTTATATAGTGCATCCATTAAGCAGTATGACATTTTAAATATGGCCAGAAATAATATAGCAGTTTACATAATTTATTCTTCAATTCTCCAATTACCTCAACATTATACAAAGAATCTGTTGTCTCTCTCAGCCTTGTTCTGGTTAACTCTAGTTCTTTTTGGAGTATTTCTTGGGCTTCCTGGAGACTGGAGATATGTCCTTCTGCAGTACCAAGGCCTTGTTCACTTTTTCTGACTAGATCTTGTAGAAGACACACCTACAGTATATAAAGAAATTCAATGTTTTCATAATTATTACAATAGGCAGCCAACAAAATCAATCTTGCATCATTCTTTTCTGAAGAAGTCTATATAACTTTTCTTTGTAAACCAATTAGGCTGTTCCAAACAAAATTTCTGCCTTTAACATTATTATATTATTACTTTATTCCTTAGAGTATGGGCACGCATACATGTGGAGCCATCTCAAAAGGGGAATGTTTCAAAAGGGCAGCAGCTGTTAGGCTCCAGTTGTTAAGTGCAGACAAAATGGGAATGATATGAGTGTAGCAAAAACCACTCCAACTTTAACACTGCTGCCTCAAATGCTAAAATTGAAGCAGTTTTACTACATTTGTATGACTCCTGGTTTGTCCACATACACTAATTAAAATGTAATAGCTGCTGCCCTTTTGAAATGTTACACTTTAGAAACATCTCTAAAAACACGTCCTGTCCTCAGAGTGTGCACTCAGCTTCTGCTCAGCAGTAAGCCTCTCATTATGGCTTATTATATTCTTAGTCACATTCTTATCTCTAATAGCATCCTTGAAGTGAAAAGGACTTCATCAGCTTCAGGGCAGCTAATATTAGAGAACCCAGATGTACTTGAAGAATTAACTACCTATCCTTCATGCTGTGCAATTTTCTGATTGCTAAATAAGCCCACTATATGTGCTTTAAACTTTAGTAACGTAAATTAGTCCAGACTACCCTTCATACTACCACAGACAGGTTGCTGCTAATCCCAGAGACAGCTTGTTTAAGGGTAGCTAGCATACCTCTAAAAATATACCAAAATCAAATCTTCAGTGCTAATAGAGATAGACTGTTCATCTCTGCGCCTCAGTACTATATCTATAAAACAGTAATAACATTGTACCTCCCTGCCTTTTGGATGCCTTAAAAAAAAAGCACATTGAGAACTATAACTCATTCATCAACTACAGTAAAGGTGAACAACTGAAAAATTTCACCTGGATGAATAAAGAAGAAAAATAGGGCTGTTACTAAGAACCAAGCTGCATGAAAAGCTTTGTCTATGATTTTCTCTGTACTCTTATATAGGGCTACAAGAGCTGATTTGGACCACAGGCCATATCTTTGACACCCATACTCCAGGGATACAGACAATATGTTGTTTCACCACTCCTTTACTTCAAAAATAAGGATACTGCTGAAATGTAGCAAGGCAGGTTTTGACACAGTCGGTCCTCAGACTACTGCTACCAGCTGATTGAGGACAGCCATAAGATGATGATAAAAACTTGCCTTGAGTCCAGACTGCATAGATGTTTGTACTTTTGTGGCACTCTAGGCCAGACTTCACCTCAGGTGCATGCATTCTTGGCTGTGGAACCAAATATTCCCCAAGGAAGACCCTTTAAAAATACAACATGATAATCCCCTCTGTAGTCTGCTCCTTCCATATGTGGTAGAAGGACCTGACTAGTGCGCACAAAGAAATGGCCTTGCTCCCACAACACCCATCCATGATTATCATGACAGATACCTCTTTTAGGCTGGGGAGCTCATGTCAACGGTATCTAGGTACAGTGCCCAAGAAAACTGAAGAAAGAGAGATTCCCTAGCAATGTACTGGAATTCAGGGTAGAGAGGATGACAGGATTATTGTCCCACTCCAGATAACCAGAAGTCTCCAGATCAGACCCAGGGCTGTCTGGGGCCAAGGCAACAATCTCCTGATTGTTGACCCATCCTGGACAGCCTAGGTCTTGAACTGGCCCCAGGGCTCTCCCAGGGCCAGGGTTGACAGTCAGCTGACTGATGGACCCTGCCCTGGGACAGCCAAGGGTCTTGAATTAGCTCTGGATTGGGGGCAGTCCTGGGCCTGAGGCAGAGCTATCTCCTGCACAGTCTGCAGTTTGGGATTACAGGAATTTTTAGCCCCATCCCAAACATAGCACCTTCTGCTGTGCTAGACGTGTATGGCAGGAGATGCAGTATTTAGGATGGGACATAGAATCAGAGGAATTGTAACTGCACCATTTTTTTAACATTCAGAGGAAGTGGCAGAGGCTACAAGGATGGACTGAGCTACTGTGTGCCTTATGAATACTGTAAAGGCAAAAAGTCTCCAATCAAGTGACAGCAGATCTCAAAGAACTCTAGTTACTGAAATGAGAAGAGCTTCTCTTTTTGTTTCAAATAAAGTCTATCAGTACATTAGCTCTTGATATACTTGGTCCACCAAGCTTCCGTTTAAAGGTTTGGGGGTCTTTTTTTTTTTCTTTTCAATCTTTTCAGAACTTCCTGACTACGGTCAGGTGCTGGTGGACAAAGATGGAAATGGTAAAACAAAACTTTAATCAGACAAATTTACAATAATAAGCATGTGAATGGTAAGCTACCTCATTGTCTTTTGTTTTTCTTATGAGTCCATATTTATTTAAAACTCTCAAGAGATGCATTGCTTACTAACGAATCATGTGTTACAAATTCATGTGCTTTGAAAATATGGGCATTTGTACACATGCTTGTGTCACGGCACTGGATGCTTTTAAAAGTGCCCAGTGCTGCGGCGCATGTAGTTGCATAAGTGGCAAAATGCAGGTCAGTGCTGAGAAAATGGCAGTGCTGTGCTTTTGAAAACACGAGTCTCATTTTTTCAGGGTACAGCTCTGCCTACCACAACCCCCCAGCACTGCTGGTGCCTCTCACAACCCCCCAGCCCTGTTCTTGCCCCTTAATCCCCCACACCCCTGCTGGTGCCCCTTGCCCCCCACCAACAGCTCCTGTTCCCTCTGCCTTGCTGGAGGGGCCTCCCAGCTACCAGGGCTATGAGGCCAGGGACCCGGGTTCACAGCCATTTGCCCCTGGCAGGAGGTGGCAGCTGCTGCAGCAGCAGCAGAGCAGAGTGTAGAGCTTGGTTCCCCACCCTGCTGCCTGCCTGCTGCAGACTTGGGTGGGGGAGGGGGACGGTGTCCCCTACATGCACAGCTGCAGCAGGGGCAGCAGTGTGGGGTTGTGCACAGGGGTACAGGCAGCGCAGACCTCACAGCGGCAGGCAGTTTCCTGCATAGCTCCACTGTTCTTTGCAGCGCCTGGTCACACACTGGGCTGCAGAGGCCCCAGAAGAGGGCAGCAGGGTGGGCAGCACGAGCCTGAAGCAGGCAGAGCGCAGTCCACACCCCAAGCACAGATCTGGGGGGCACAGGTCCCTCCTGCACAGCAGCAGGGACCAGCCCACACCTCCAACCAAGCCCACAGCCCATCCTGCATACAGATCTGGGGGGCTGGGGGAGGTGTGCAGGTCCCTACTGGCCTCCTGCGAGTCTGCGCAATGGCAGGGAGCCTGCAACCCCATCCCGCTCCCTGCCTGGGCCCTGTGGCCACGCATTGTAGCTCTGGGCTCCAAGCCCCAGGCACTGCCAGGCTGGGCAACAGCCCCAGCCCCAGCCCTGCTCAACTCCGTTCCTCTCTCCCTATGGAAGCCTCAATCCCCACCACCCCAACTTACCTGTGGGAGCTGCTCTCCAGGCTGCCTGGCACACAGTGCCCCCTGCCTGACTTACCACCTCATGCTCCCTTCCAGCCCCCTGCAGTGAACTCTGCCAGTGAAACATTCAAAAGAACTGAAGCTGTACTAGTTGTGAGGGGAGAAAGATCTTTTAAAATGTGGGCGTTTTAAATTTATAAAAGTTTTTGAGTGAAGTTAGTGTTTATGAATACCAAAGACTGCCAGAGTTAGACCTACACTCCTTGAACAATGATTGTAATATGGGAAATAGGAGTACAAAGTACCGGTTCAACATAGTGGTCAGATATACACTTAGGATCATCCCTGAAAATCATGCAAGTTCTTCTACTGAACACAGAACCTGCTTAGAGATGAGAGACCAAGAATCTCCACATACTCATAGACCAATGCATCTGACCAACAAACCATCTCTTGGGTCAATAGACTCATTCTCTACTTGGGCTTTTTTGCCAGGACTCATGTAAAAATAAACAATAATTAACTTACCACAGTAAAACTGAAACTCCCCACTCTTTAGATCTAAAATTCAAACTTTGATATAACTTAGGGAGCTTAGACTATGTTTCGGATATAATATCGTAATACATTATTTTGTTCTTATTAGAAATAAGAATGATAATTTTTTTTCCGGGAGATGTTTAAACTATATGAAACAAGCCAAAATTTACAATACACTCATTATGAAAAATTTAGTGTACAGGAGAGGTTGACTTTTGCCTTTAATTACACCTGAAATATTGCACAGAGGTTTATCAAACATTTTGCTTACAGAGAGGCAGAGCAGAGAAATGGGGTCCTTAACATAATGCAGTTTTGTATTTATTTCCTTTGCTTTTGCTATGGCAATTTGTAGAATAATATTAACTAAAGAGAAAAAAATCATATTTTGAAAGCATTCCAGTGAATTGCAATATTCGAATACTCAACTTTAAAGACCCATAATGAGGTACATGGGCTTAACAACATAGGCCAAGCCTAATCTCTGACTCTAAACACAAACTGAGTAAGATATCATTAGTGATTAAATGTGGTCTAATGAACATGACAGTTAACTGATATGACTAAGTGAATTCTTGCCTCCTGATTGGCTGAAGTCAGCTTGGTTGTCAGTTCTTCCCTCAGGTTTTCCAACTGCTGTCGAAGCTGATTCTTATCTTCTTCCAGATGCAGTTTCTCCTTTTCAAATTGCTGCTCCATTTCCTTCAAAAAACAGAACAAAACAGAAACATTATATACCTGCTAAGCAGTTACCTTATACCAAACAGTGAACTCTACTGAAAGAAGTACAAAGTTTGCTTTCTGACACACACACAAAATATAGTTTAACTGTAAGAAAGGAGTCTCCTTTTCCTAAAGCACTGTAACAAGCTTTGCCTGCATTTCTGGAAGTTTTAATTATTCTGGGTATTTTTAAGCCCATACCCCTTGTTAATCACAAGATTAAAAAGAGAAAGAAAAAAAGGAAAGCAAGACCTCCTTTTATACTATAGAATTATAGAAAATTCGGGTTGGAAGAGACCTCAGGAAGTTGTCTAGTCCAAACTATGCTCAGAGCAGGAGCATCCCCAACTAGATCATCCTAGCCAAGGCTTTGTCTAGCTGGGTCCTAAAAACTTCCAAGGACGGAGATTCTAACAACTCTCTAGGTCAGTGGTTCTCAACCTTTTTCCTACCAGGTGGGACCCATTTGCAAAGGTTCATGGCCTGGCCCAACCCTCACACCCCTGGCCCTGTCAGTGGAAGGCACGCAGTCCCTGCCTCCCTCCACCCACTCCGGCCATGCTGGTGTTCCTAACTCCTGACCCACAGCCCGTACTGCCCCCCCCCCAGCCCTGCTGGTGCCCCTCACTCCCAAACCACATCCCCTGCCCCCCCACACCTGCCAGTGCCCCTCACACCCGACCCTCAGCCCCTGCCCCATCCCAACCCTGCAGGAGGGGCCTCCAGCTGCCCAACCTGTTCAGGCTGGAGCACAGTGACTGCAGAGGCTATGGCTCATGCAGGCAGCAGTGGAGCAAGCTGGTGGAAGGAGGCGGGGAGGCCTGTGGCAGCCCATTTCACTCCCTGAGCAGCATCTCCTGGTCCCCCCACCCCTGTGAGCACCCAGCCTGGCCTTGCAGCTCTCCCCCACCCCTTCCCCCCACCACTCTGCCCTGCCGCACTCTTGATGCTTTCCCAGGATCAGTGTTTCTCAACCCACAGCTCATGACTCCCCAAAATCTTCTTGAGACCCACTTTTGGGTCATGACCCACAGGTTGAGAAACGCTGCTGTAGGTAACCTGTTCCAATGCTTCACCATCCTCCCATTGAGAAAATTTCCCCTTATATGTAACCTAAACATCCCTTGCTACAAACTCGAGAACACTGCTCCTTGTTCTGTCACCTGTCACCACTGAGAACAATCTAGCTCCATCCTCTTTGGATCCACACTACAGCTAGTTAAAGGCCGCTATCAAATCCCCTCTCAGTCTTCTCTTCTGCAGACTAAATAAGCCCAGTTCCCTCAGCCTCTCCTCATGAGTCATGTGCCCCAGCCCTCAAACAATTTTCATTGCTCTCTGCCAGACTCTCTCCAACTTGTCCACATCCTTTCTATAGTGGGGGAACCAAAACTGGACACAGTACTCCAGATGTGGCTGCACCAGTGCAGAATAGAGCACAATAATTACTTCCCTTGATCTGCTGGCAACACTCCTACTAATGCAGCTCAGTACGCCATTAGCCTTCTTGGCAACCAGGGCACATTGCTGACTCATATCCATCTTATTGTTCACTAACTCCCAGGACCTTTTCTGCAGAGCTGCTGCTTAGCCAGTCAGTCCCCAGGCTGTCGCGGTGCATGGGAGTCTTCCATTCTAAGTGCAGGCCTTTGCAGTTCTCCTTATTGAACCTCATGAGATTTCTTTTGGCCCAATCCTCCAATTTGTCTAAGTCATTCTGAATCCTAGCCCTACCTTCCAGCATATCTATTACACTACCCGCCTTGGTGTCAACTGCAAGTTTGCTGATAATTAATGAAGATATTGAACAAAACTTGCCCCAGGACAAACCCCTGTGGCAAGCTACTTGATACTGGCTGCCAGCTAGACACTGAGCCACTGATTACTACCCGTTGAGCCTGACAATCCATCCAGTTTTCTATCCACTTTACAGTCCATTCATCCAACCCAGA